CAATAATGTCACTTCAAGTACAGTATGAAGTCTCTTAGTCTCGGACCTCCTCGAGGTTGTGCTATTTCACCCATTTGTTTTCATTGTACACAAATGACTGCAGTGTTCTGGGCTCTAACTGTGCAATAATTAAATATGCAAATGATACTGTTATTAGTGGTTTCTTGCAAGATGATGTAGATGATGACTTCAAACAAGTTGAATGATTTGTAGATTGGTGTGACAATGATTACTTGGTCTGGAGTGTATAATACAAAACAAAAGAAATGATGTTTTATTTTCGGCGTTCTCGATCTAGCCGCATCCTCTTGGTCATACATGGCCAGTGTATTGACCAGGTTTCTGAATACAAGTATCTGGGAACAGTGATTGATGAGTGATTGATCACAAGTTGCAGCTAGCAAGACAAGCCAGAGGTTATACTTCCTTAGAAACCTTTGGGAGTTTCATTTGGATAGTATAGCATACAAGCACTATTTTATCAGTCAGCGATACAGAGTGTCCTTATGTTGAAATTCCTCTCGTGCGCATTTGGTAATCTCTCACAGATTAATATAAAAAACACCGCGCAAAATTGCCCAGAAAATAACCCAATCAAACCTTCCCTCAATCGACACCTTGTATGAGAACCAAAGGCCACATCATTGTGTGTAACCCCCCCCTACACACACACACCCACATGCAATGCACCTTTCTTTGTGTTACAATCGATCGGGAGTGTGCTTGTATGTCCCCAAGACTATGCGTTGCCGGTTTAGACAGTCGTTTGTTCCAAATGCTATTCACATTTTAACAGAAATTCCAAGTGGTTTATTGTTGTTCACTTAACTGAGTAAAGTTTTAATTACTATCCGGCTTATAATTTATGTCCATGTTTTTGTATTTCTTGGCAAGTAATTTGTGAGCTTTAGTTTGACAATTGTATTTGATGTGTTTAAAGTGTGTATGGATGGTTTGTTATAATATTTACGTGCTTTTGTACTATGTTCTATTTTGGTAATGTGCTTTTATCTGGAGTCAAACTTCTATGTTTCACGTGGACAATAAATTTTAACAACAAAACAGGAAAAGAAGAAAGAGATAGTGAGTGACCTAAATTTTTGTCGACTTTTTTTCGTCTCCGGGATTTTTGGCAAACCGTTCAAAAGTGTGGTAGTGCGAAACTGAAATCTGGCCAAAATTTCTTTTTGGGGGGGATGGTGCCTTCGTCGTAGGCACTGCCCCTGGTTTTAGCTTACAAACCGACTTGATGCCGAGTTGCTTTTTCAGCATGACTGTTTCGTCTCGTGAATCGTCTCTGAAGTGGACTTTGCACTCTTGCACCCATTTTGTTTCACATCCCAACATCGCTGCATAGAATTGTGCACATTGTGGAACTACTCCAGCCATCACAGTTTCACGTTAAGCCGGATACTGTCATAATGATGGTACCCCCAGACGTTGATTTTAATAGCACTATCAGTTTATTGGTATTTTAGATCTGTGCTTGACCCTTTCAGAAGTTGGGCGCTCCGCGTGTTTGATCGTCGTTTTCAAAGGGACAAAAGTTTCGTTTTTGCTCTCTAATTTTGAGCGATAGCAGTGGGTTCAAAAGCCATGGGATGTACCCTCTGTACTCCTTCGGCTGAGATCAAACATGGAAAAGAAACTACCTGTTATGAACTTGACTCCCTTAGCAATCCAAGCAGTCTCTTCGCCAGTACCACATCCCACATCGAGGACGGTGTCCTCCCGTCTCAACCCCAACTTGTTGATGTGATGTTTGATGAAAGAGTGCTGAATGACCCTTGCATCCCCACAGTAGTCTTCGCTGGCTGTGAAATTCATGTTGGACGCTGGCGAGTCTTCTTGCTGACAGAAATAAACAGAAAAATGTATCTAACGCTGCATCCTGTGATTCAGAGATTGATATGTATTGCCACAGCCTTTGTGGATTGGGGGACAATAAGGGTCATGCCATGTCAAGAGGGTAAATTATTTGACAAAAATAAAGAGAAAGAAAAAGGAATTTGGAAAGACTTTTCAAATTAGCAAACCATCCAGCTTTTTCAAAACATAATTTTGCCTCAACCAACTTTAATTAAATTAACAAAATTAAGTTCTGGTCCGTCATTGGTGATGACAGAAGACTCCCAAACACTCCAGAGACTGAACGTCATTGCTCAATGCAGCTGCAGTATGGACAATAAATCTCTGCGCAATAAATCTCTGCGCACAACTATCAAGTACGAAGTACAACGGTAACTTTGCATTTGAAGACGCTTTAACAAAGTTTTGCTCGCTGAAGAATGTGTGAATAATTCTTTCTCGTGTATCAATGCAATCTTATCGCTCAGTTTTTAATAAGAAATATAAAAAAACCTGCAAACTTACGGGTAACACGAAAAAATATGGTCCACTAAAACTGCCCTGTGACGATGAGTCCTGCGCGTAATATTCCACGTACTCAATAACCTGTTCATGATGCAACCACGTGATACAACCATGGTCGGATTTTAAGGCGTTTTTGAGTGCTTCCCTTCTGGTCAAAAGGTCACAGTTGGCAAAACTATGGCACGCAAAACGTTTTGATATTCATTGTTTTTATGTACGATGTTCACAATATGTGTTGATAATTTTCATTGTATGTGCATAATGTGCAACATTTATATACAATGCCCAATGTGCCACGTTCGGCATATGTATGTTAAATGTCTAACATATTTTCATATTTATGTGTAGCACGGAAAGAGGGCACCCTAAACTAAGTCTGAATAAACAAAAAACGAAAATTTGGGGAACTCGCTAAAAAAAACTTCAAATTTGATCGGGTAGGGAGGAGTCTCAAGGAAAATTAGGTGGAGGCAAAGTTTTACATATAGGGTGCATTATAAAGGAAACCGAGATAGTTATGTTTATACTTTGATGTGATTCATTATTTTTGAAAATGATAATCATAATCTGTTACATAGGCCTACTGGTGTCCTCTTTGTTATAAACTTATGACACCAAGCCAAATCCAAATTTCCGTCACAGATGACTTAGCGCTAAGTGGTTAAATGGCCCTTGTCAAAATGACTTTAGGTGCACCATAGTAGGTTTGCACAGTGTGCTGCATTTCTAAAATGACAAACAAAACAGTACGTACAGTACCAAAATCATTCATTCGTAGATAAAAACAGTTGAGGACTTATACGATGACTGCCTGACCCCTAGCCTAACCCCAATGAATGTACTTACTTTTGTTAACAAAATCTTGAAACTTCTGCCCTACTCCTCATCAATGGGACTACATCCTTGGTGACGTCTTGAAATGACTCAGCAAAGCCATGGCATCTGTGATTTGCTGAAATCTACTAGTTTTCACCCCCTCACAACGAAAACGCATTGCCCTGTTGCAAGGCATCTTGTGGGTTTTTAGGTGGTCTGAGCATGGTCTGAGCAAGTACACAGCCTTTCCGTGCATCGTTACATGGGTAGGATGAAATCGACACTTCAGCCAACTTTACACAGTTATTGTGTGCAATATGGGCTGAACGGATTCGGCACCAAAACGCAATCTTGTGCAAAGTCATGATAAACATGGTCCGTTAAACCACTTTCAGTCGTCTGTGACAAGAATTTGGAATTCAATTTCTTGACACGGCTGGCCTGCTGGTCGTTATCAGAAATGTCAGAGGAAAGTTTTTTTATACAAACTCAATCTTGTTGCAAACCCACCAATTTTGTGGACTGAATTCGAGTCGTTCACATTTGGCATAGCACCGTTGTCCCAGTTTTTGTTTTATTATAATCTGAGTTGGCCAGCTGAACTGTCCATATGTCACTGAGGTTCACTGATCCTGTGTACAGAGTTCATATTATATGAAGGCCTATGAATCATTCAGAAATGCCGCCTGAACTACATACTGCTACTTCATTTCGTCAATGAGCAACCGTGGATTCAAATGACAATGCAACTTTAGGAGTTAAATAATAACAATAAAGAATTTCTTTAAAGCGTACAATTCCACCAAAAATTGCTTACAGAGCTCCAACCATTACTAAGAACACAAACAAATTTACAGGCTAACTCTTCAAGCAAGATTATACAAGTATGTTTGGTAGCCGTTTTAAATGAAGTGAGATATAATGTGCTGGGCATTGTACTCAGGGAGCAGCAATTTTGACATTTCTGTCACCTAAGGGCCAGTATGACTTACGAAGAATAAAAACAGTCTCATTCTTCGTTATAAAAACGTGAATTCCGCTAAATTAGAATGAATTAAACATGCTGAAACAGAGGATTACGATGAACTCATCGTTTCCAAAGTAAAAGGAGCAACCCACAAAGAAATTTCTGAAATTGTACCAAGCACCGTCTGTCTACTTAGGGAAGCGTCTGCGATACTCTCCCCAGATATTGAGCGTGTAGGAATACGGCGATTTTGCGCACTGTGATTGGCCAACGAGTTGCAAACTCTTGGAGTCGCACTATTGTGAATCACCCGTATTCTTCAACAGACAACAGTTACTCGTTAGTCTGCAAAATGACCCCTGGGCCAGCTTTTTCCTAACTGTATTATCATGCTTTCCGATTAAAACATAACAGATATGTGCCATGCTGCACCAAAGAATGAGAAGGATGTCCTAGACTTGACGTCATACTTTCAGGAGACCATCCTACTTCGAACAACGTGTTCTGTAAGGGGAAGTTCGGATTAAACATAAATTCAAAAGAAATTACCTTGCTTTTTGTTCTACCGTTTTCAATATGCTAAACGAGAAATTAATTTATTCCACTTTTCCTGCTACTTTTTTAAATGGAAAAACGAGAAACGTCTCTTTTTGTCAATTTTAGGTTTTCTTTTTCAAAACAAGACGTGTCTTCAAGTTTTCATTTTTCAAATCAAACAACGAGCGAACGAAACGTATGATAATAACGCGCCTCGCGTATACATGTACATTCACTAATTCAGTGACACCAGCAAACTGAGCTTCGTGATTAATATTGATGCCAGCTGTACAGAGGGATCCTCTGTCTCATTTTTTCCACAATAAAATGAGTGTTTTTCGTTTTAACAGGAGTAAGCTCACATCCCCGAATGCACGAACGGCAAGGGTACGACGCGGGGGTCAACGAGGGCATAATTATTGTCAGTACCTGTACATGTACATCATGTACTCTTCATCCGAGAGTGATGCGCGCACCATTTTCAAGCACTGAGGAGTCAACACGGTACAGACGCACCTTGTGTGGTTTACCATCGCCCACGCTCGAAAATAAAAGCCCTTATTCAACACGAATTGGAAAAACTACCAACGTAGTCTTGCCCCAAGATTAGTTATACTGTTTTGGCCGGTGCACCGTGCAAGCGACCATGTGTGCACTGTCGAAAACGGGCAGTCTTCATGGTGCGCGGTCTTCAGCAGTGCCTGCGAGCATTTTTCACGCTCTTGAGCGCGTGAGTATGGTGAACTATTTACGACAAACATTTCTCTCTCTCTCTCTTGCCTCCCTCCAGGCGACGCAACCAGACGACGCAACGGCACAACGGCTCCTTTGCGTCGTGCCGTCACGGTAGGGTCAAACCGTTGCCTTCTTGCCGTTTCGTTTTTACACGCGACGCGTCGTGTCGTGCGTCGCGTCGTGCGTCAGGCGACGTAATAGGCGACGCGATGCACGACACCACGTACGACGCGTCACGGTGTGTAAAAACGCGGGACGGTAGGACGCGACGAGCGACGTAATCAGCGACGTTCAAACGGCAAAAAATGCAACATGGAAAGGACCTAAGGCAGCACGACACGACGGGCGACGGCACGACGCAACGCACAACGTGTGTGTGTGTACAAAAGTAATGGCAAGAGCGGCGACGGTGCGACCAAACGGCACGACGCAAGGGAGGCGTCGTGCCGTCGCGTCGTGTGGTTGCGTCGCCTTGAGGGAGGCTAGGGAGAGAGAGAAATGTGTGTGGTGAATAGTACACCATACGTGAGGTAGTATGGAATTCCATATACCTACCGTCGCCCGTCGTGCGCCGCCCGTCGTGCGTCGCCCGTCGTCCATGTAAACGTACCATTTGATCCAGTGTGCATTGTACCAAACTATAAACAAGCTTCACAAATCTCATGTTTTTTGTTTCAAAGCTTCCGCTGATTTGTAAACAGTATTTTTGATTATGCGAGGCAGATTTAGTAAAATCCTATTTTTCTTAAACTCATAAATTTTATGCTCTACAGTTTATCAATACGTGCAGTTTACGCATTTTGTACAAAAATACATGACATAAACAGCAGATCTGAAATGTTTACATTCAGGGTCAGTGTAATATTCCTTGGTCGGGTTATCACTTCCGAGAACGCCAGCTGACATTAGTTCCTCCTCTTCCTCGAAGGTCATATAACCTCAGCTTGCTTACGTCGATTCCCCAAACCCTCCTTGGCACGATCCTTCATAAAGTCCATCCAGTGTATTCTTGATCTGTAAGAAGAAGTCAGGATCTTGCGGGAATTTGTAGGCCTTATTCATGGTGTCAAAATAAAGCTGAAAACAAATCACGAGTTCGTGAAGTATCGCTCTTGGAAATTTCTCTCCGTTTTGTTTGTTCATCTCGCACAGAAATCTTGGTCATATCCTCTGTAAGATTATTGAAAGGATTTGTGCTCAGTGTTGGGCAGTTAATGGTTGCGCTGACCTTGCAATTGACGAGAAGGTGCTAACGCCCACTTAATAGCGTTATCGGAAAGTCCGAAAAAAACAAAATTAGAAAGTAACTTTTCGGTCCAAATATTAGATATGTTCAGCGCAATCGTGACCTTTGCGCAAACTCTGTGCTCTGGGGTTGTTTGCCAAATGGGACAGATGAAACTAGAAATCGTACCGAAGAAACCTTTATACGCAAAACACAAATTAAGATCTACGGTTTTTGTCATGTATTTTTGTACAAAATGTATAAACTGCACGTATTGATAAACCGTAGAGCATAAAATTTATGAGTTTAAGAAAAATAGGATTTTACTAAGTCTGCCTCGCATAATCAAAAATACTGTTTACAAATCAGCCGAAGCTTTGAAACTTAAAACACATGAGACTTGTCAAGCTTATTTAAAGTTTGGTACAATGCACCTTGGATCAAATGGTACGTTTACATAAAATGAATATCTTAATGAATTCTATTATTATGGGTACAAAAACTAATTTTGTAATGTTTTAAGAATGAATTCCATTCCAAATCTCCATTATTTTGTAGGGATGGAGTGGTGAGACGTTGCCCTTCCAAATAATGGAGAGGTGTGTCTCCATCGCTCCATTTGTACAAAATAATGTAGCGGCAAAACAATACGGTGACGTCACGGGTGGAGGTTAACGTGTGGCTCCGGCCGGGCCGGGCCAGCTGTACTGTGGGTGTATTTCCTAAGGCCTTCAATAAGGCCACGCACTCGGGCGTTTGGCAATGAGCGAAAACGTAGGCCCCTGTTCTATATTAGACAGCCTTGAGAGCCATGAAATTGGGGTGTTGAAAAAAAGGCACTGAACCTCTTGCATGGACTTAGGGTTTCCAATTCTGAGCCATTTCAATGCAACCGAGTTCGCAAGTGGCACTACTTAGCCGTTTTGCGGAGGGATGCATTTTCAAAATGGCTACTCAGTCTCTGAGCAAGGAAATTTCCTTCATTTTAAAAGTTGTCTGCTTTGGGTGAGAATTTCTCAAAAATCCATTGGTCAACCCACTAGAAATTGAAAGAAAAATGAAAGAGGGCTTGTCAAACATAATTTTTCTTTACAGTCTGGATACCTGTGAGAGTGGCGAGTATTTTTTAAATAATTTTGAAGGGGTTTGTTCCGTCACGGGTGTCTATGGCAATTTACTTACGGGTGCATTGAACCAATTCAAGCTCCGTAAGTTGAAAATAGTGTAAAATCAACCAAGTTTGGAGTCCCATGGCAGGCAACACAAGTCCCTGAGGCCTCTCTAAAAAAACCAATGTGTTGTTTGTTCCTTCATATTTCATTTCATTTTCAATTTTTAGTAGGTTAACCAATGGATTTTTTAATTATCCGCCAAAAACAAACTCACCCCCCCCCCAAAAAAAGTGAATGTTCCCAAGTCTTCTCAGCGGCCATTTTTCAAATGACATCCCTCACCTTCCTGGGGCTCTTCTGACAATTTTCAATCACATTTTTGTCTGCATTGACACCAGATGGGTGTCCTTGAATCTACAGAGATGATTCTGGGCCATACTGACACATCCCACCATTTCTTGGCCCGAACAGACCCCTCTTTTCGAAAGAATCTGTTAGGGGTACTTTTTGTGCGTCTCGTCCTGGCGTAGAATTTTCTTTGAATTGGGACACTGCACCCCTCAGGGGATGCACCCTGAACGCCAATGTTGCGCTGGGAACCAGACTATACCAAATGGCCTAACCCTGCCGTTAGAGGGCACACTTACCTAAATATTACGTGCATACTTAACGTACCGATCTGCGCTGCATGCATGACTCGACTATCGACATGTCTAGCCTACAGCTAGCCTGCAACTCAGCTCAAGACGTGCTACTCACTGCAAGAAGCACAGGGCTGCAGCTCATGAATGTGTAGGGCCTACATGTACGTGGGCTGGCCGTGTCCTTCCTCCATCATGTCTGTGATCGTACGTGTTGTGATTAAGAATCAGAAGTACGGTGTAAAATCCAAACTGTCAAACTTTACCTAGACTAGAGCAAGAAAATACCTATTACTAGTATTAGACGGAGTCCATTTCATGTGCAACGCACCCTCCACAGCTCCACATTCACAACCACCACAGCTTTAAAATGGTAAGATGGTCTCCATAATGATGACATGCATGACAGCATGGACAATGTTTCCCACCCTATTTCAACATCATTTTTAGGTAGGCCTGGGCTAGGTCCTATTTAGTAGAACTCTAACGTTAACCCACTACTCTGTGTGACGTGGTCATAACGCTATGCATTTTTGAATCAAACTTTTGCAGTAAAAACGATCTGGTTGCACGATGCAGGAAGGAAGACCTCTGTGGTTGCACAAACACCACTCTTTCAAGCAAATTTTCCCATGAGAGCAACTTTGAAAAACTGTAGCTGGTGAAAGTCATATCAATAGAGAAATACAGAAATGCAGTGTTTTTAATTAGTCAAACTGATTCTTACTTAATGGGAAGGGGATGAGTGACATGTTTTTAGCTGCTTCGGCTTCACTGCCTAGGTCATCTATTAACAGAAAATTTCTGCTTAGCTCATTAGCAAGAAAAGTGCCCCGGTTTCTTTTGAGAAAGGAGATTGTTTGGCCCCCAAAAGGTGAAATTGTGTCAAGCTTTGCCAGGATTAACTCAGGGCTGGTTCTTTGGACGTCCATCTAAGGCCAAAATGGACAAGAAATACGATTAAAAAATGGTCCTACATGTAAGTGTCCGAGAAACCAGCAGGATGCAGTCTGAAAAATCTTTTGATAATATACATTAGGAACGGGCCTAATCCTTCTGTACATGTACATGTACCATGGAAATACTTTTTTGTTTGGTGTTATTACTTCTATAAAGTGCAAAGCCACATACATTTCATGAATTTGTACCATTGAAGTATGGAAATTGACCTCAAGACCAGATATGCGCCGTTCATATTTCCCTACTGAAACATAAACGTGTACCTCCCTGGTTCATTGTACTTTGAGGCCTTGCCTACGACTGTACGCCATTGTTGCAAGATACATGTAGGGAATGCCCTGTCTGCGGAACATCATGCATTTTGACATGGTTCTGAGCCACTCTAAACCATGTCTGATTTCAGCAAATTTAGTTTAACCACTTGCTGCCTGGGAACCCAGTTTCGAGCACCGTGGGGTTTATACGCAGAGCCGGGGTGCCCGAAATGGCACAAAAGAGCTGGTCCTTGTAACAAAAGATCGTACTCGAAACAAAAGACCTGCTGCTGGGAATTGCCATTATTTTTCGGCTTGCATTTTTCGAAGGTAATCCGGCACTGTTTTTAAACAGAATACCACTGTTTTGGGCATAGAATGCCCACAGGTTAGCACCACGGACAGAAGTGCTCTAGGACCCCATTGATGAGCAACAAAGCACCGCTGCATGCTAATCCAGCTGCGTTTGAAAAGACACCTCTCGCATTCATTGGGGACAAAGGAAATTATGCAACACCTCACAATTCTGGGCTTTCTTTACAGGGCAGCAGGCCTGGCTGAAATATTCAGGAGTCAATGAAGGTACCTGTCAGCTTAGAGTAGCCACAAAAGAGTCATTCATGTGGGTGTAAAAGTCCACTAAATGAAATAATGAATTTTTGAAGAATTTTCAAAACTGAAAACCTTGAAAATCTCCTGGATGTGGGCATTGCATTTTTAAAAGCACCCAGCAGCATGTGGTTAAAGAACCCATGTTTTCCTGCAGTGTAAACTCTGATCAACTGCAACTTCTTGTCATGAAAGTCACTGTGATTTACAGCCATGACAGCAATACAAATAAGATCCAAATACTCTTCATTAGTCATGGCTAGAGAGTGGTACTTTTAAATTGGTAAATCCTTTCATCGATACATTTTAGGGGGCGCTATATCACAAAATCACCAAAATTTGTCAGAAATTATCCAGCAACTAAGTTTTAAAGATAAATTTATTATTTTTTTGGGGGGGAAAGGGGTTTATGTCAACAATATTGTGTCTCCCCCCTATGGTGGCGGTCCATACACAATGACTGTAAGTCTTTGTTCAGACAAAGGGTAAACCCATTTTATAGCAATATCATGCTTGTTGACTTGGTCCTGCATGGGCCATTTTAAAAGGGCAGTAACAGGATTTCAGCCTGATCCAGAACTTTTTGTGTAGGCTGCAAACATCCATGCCTTCGGCTTATTAAAATCTGTTTTAACAACACTTGTTTCATTGCGTTTCCAACAAAGGGGCAAGACTGACGCTGCAGTATTTTCACCTTTTTGTGCTTGTGGTTGTTTTTTCCCAGTTTTTTCAACTTTTAATAGCTAGAAGCAGAACTTGGAAGAAGTGAAGTATAACTCCATACAATTGCATTTACTTTCAAGGTAATTTCACTAAGATCAGCAAAACATAGGTCAAAGCCCCACTAGCATTTTCACCTCTATTTTATGTGCCCATTTCTTACAAAGACAAGTTAATTCTGTGTCTGCTTTGGACAGTGTTCATAATGTTCAGTCCTGTACAGACCTTGGGGCAGTCATCCTGTTTTGTTAACAGTTCCTGCCATCGGCTCGGTTTATTATCACCATGAGGTCACTAGCCGCCTGGTTTTGTGCGTACTAATTAGAAACTAAACTAGACTGGTACTACTCTTATCTGACAGCACTTGGCAGTGTACCATCAAGCAACACAGCTATACCAGGATTGATATTTATGATTCTGTTGTATGGCTCAATTTTTTCAAAGTGGGACAAAAAAGTAATACATACATACATGTATCTCCTCATTTGAAAAAGGGTTGTCTGCATATCTTTATTTTCTGCTCCTGTTTCCAAATAACTCATTGTTTATCTTCACTAACTTTTTCTCTTTCTATTATATCAGAAATATACATGTAACTTTCGTAATATACATGTAACTAAGCGTTTAAGCTGTTCTTTTGAAACTTTACCATCCAATGTCAATTGTCCATTTTGTTTACTCTTGACCAGATAAATATTTGTCAGTAAATCTTTTACCCAAAATTTACTTGATTATGGACCTCGAGCTGGGCCAAGAGAGGGGGCTATTTTGTTAGCAACACGTTATGTTCAAGGTTCATCAAACGCAGTAAATAATACAGTACAAATTAGGAAATACTCAGAACGATTACCCAACTTTATTTCGCTCATCTACAACATGGCACGACATGTCTCCATTCCTTCTCCTGAGGGTGCCATGCATGTACATGTACCATGGACTCAACACAAGAGAGGCTTCTTTGGTCAGAACTGAACTTTGCTGGTTCATGAACAACTACAAAATGCAAGCGTTACGGTCACATTGCTGCCAGTAAATTAAACACTCTCTCGACCAACACGGTTGAGCAACCAATGAGGGGGTGCCTTTGCACTCACTTCAATCCCATGACTTTCTTTTAAATGATGCACTGTTGCAGAGTTTTCTTCCCTGTTTACTACAACACTTTCAAGCAGACGGGAGATGCATGTTTACGAATGTCCAGTAGGTTTCCCGCGACAAAGCGTCTCTAATTGGTAACTAGAAAACTACGTGGCGCTGGAATAACAATTATTTCTTACTACTGTTGCTTATTTAACAACTTCCAGCCCAAATTGAATTAGCAAATAGCATGACAATGAACGATTGTACTTTCACGTGAACCCGCAAACTGATTTTGTTGGGAATTTCAAATTAAGGCTCGGAATGAAAATCTCTAATTTTTAGTTTTGATGATCAAACCAAACCAGGCCCCCCCTTAAGAACTGACGCAAATGAGCCGGATTACCATGGTAACAAATCCATGGTTTGCGTGTTTCCTGTTCTTAATCTGGCTTCATTAACAGTCCTATAAGGTACTGACGTCACGGTCTGTTGTGTACTTTCCTATGGCAGTTAGATGAAGTGAGGTACGATCCACGATTCCCCACGTAAGAAAGCAAGCATGTTCACACAAGGGCTGATGTTGTAATGTTTTAGGTCTAGTTTATGAAGTTGGTCATTCTGATTTTTTTAAACTCATGGAGATTTGAATGTGATTGTAATTAGCAATGTGTAAATGGATTGGTAATTACTAGTTTTCATGTTTTGTTTATTGAGTATACATGTATGTGCAAATTTGTCCAAACTTAAGGGACCCCAATGGAAATATGCCTGTATAATTGGCTTTCTTGCATTATCCCAGATTGAATCAACAGTCTCTTGTTTTTCTCTGTGTACATGCTCAATTGTAATGAAGTTGATTGATTTCTGAACAAAATAATAACGGTGCAAAAGGGGTTTCAGAGCAGGAGACCATCCAAGTCTTTTTTTGAAAAATTTGAGATCTGTACTCACCAATCTCTTGTTTTCACTCGATGACAATTGCACCGTTCATGCCATTTGTGTTTATCACATTGTATTTGGCTGGCCAATGGCCAAGTTCACTCACTCCGCATCTCAGTTCGACCATTTTTGGAGACGGGGGATGGCATTTTGTTTTGCCTGACTGTCTTTACTATGTGACTTGTAGCTGGTATCATCAGTACTTGCGATATGCACTGTGCTGGGTAGTTGTGACAGATTGCAAGATCTTAGAAATCTCCCCCCCCACCTCTGAAAATGGTTGAACCAAGATGCAGAGCAAGTTTAGCTATTTCTTGGCCCGACTCATGAGCAATGTGATAAGTAGATACTGTACTTGGAAGTACAGTGTACATGTACGTGAAGGTGTGACAGAGGAGTCAACAGCCAGCAAGGAGCAAAACGCTCTGACATGAATTCTTTTATTTTTTTGGTTTTAAGTTTTGTTTTGTTTTTCCCCCAGGGCCTTTTTGCTTTTTTGAAGTCCAAACTTGGCAACAGTCCAAGCCGTAAGTTACGCATTCTGCTGCTTGGGCTGGATAATGCCGGCAAGACAACCCTCTTACGGGGGGTAGCCAAGGAGGACATCAGCCATACCACGCCCACGCTAGGGTTCAACATTAAAACCATCTCATCACAGGGTGTGCAGCTCAATGTGTGGGATATTGGAGGTGGGTTAGCGGCCCCCCTGGTGGGTGTGGCATTTGAGAGACGGTGGGAGTTTGAGATGTTGAACTAAACTGCTTTAATAGCAGTGACATTTCTTACACGTGACATTGCCTGCCCAAATATCCTACTGGCAGGTATTCATTTACCTGAGACTGTTTTGGAAAATGCCTTAGCTTTTGTGCATTTTTCATTCGCTTAAAACCCTAACCCTACACAATGCTGTCGCTTGAAAGAGGATATGACCTTATGGTTCTTTGCAGCCATCAAATACAAGAGATAAGACAATGTACCATATGGCTTTATTTTTCTCTGTACAAGTAAGAATGGAAGTGCCCTAGTCGAAAGTGCCCTAGTCGGAAGTAGTAATATGAGGCACTAGGTCCTTCAGGCTCAGACTACTGCTTAGTATTTGTAGTACGGAGTACTCAGTAGTGTAAGCCAAATGAAATGCTTGACGGTTAGAGTTTTAAAGTGACTTCTGTGTCTTATAATGTCAAAATCAAATTTAGAAATGACAGTTTAATCTGAATTTGAGTCAAACAAACCGTTACATGTTGTTTTATGTCTGGCAGGAGAATTTTGAAGGGAGATCCAGTAAAAAAAAATTTCCTTCAGTGTCCAAACTCACTTTATTACAATTCTCAGCTACAGAAGTTAAATGTATCAAGTAAAGTCTGACAACTGTGAAGCCTCCGACATGATTTCTAAGAAGTGTGGTACCTCTGACAGCATGGTTACACAGTACCATGCTGCCTGACAGCTGACAGATTTTCATATTTGCTCTCCACTTTGCAGGTCAAAAAACAATACGTCCTTACTGGAAACAGTACTTTGAGAAAACAGATGTTCTCATCTACGTGATAGACAGTGCAGACAGCACTCGACTTGAAGAAACTGGAGAGGTAGAAATCTCTACTTTTTTTTTTCTCAATGATGTCGTGCCAGTGTTTTTGTAGCCTGTGTAAATTCATATATTGAAACAAGTCTGCGTACTGGAACTGGATGCCGTCCAAAGAGTCAACTGTGGTCTTACCGGAAATTATCCAGCTCCAGTCAATTAAATAACCAATAACTGACGGTACTTTGCAAAGTTCTAAGCCAACACCTTTTCAGCTTAAAATGCCATGGGTTTTAAACACCAACTGCCAAAATGTGGACAGTGCTTTTCTGAGGTGCAGTTTGAATCAAATATTGTGTCTTCAGACTTGAAAGTGATTGAAGGTTGATCAAGTGTCAAAATGCAAGCAAGTTAAAGTTAAAGTGCTGCAAATTATCGAGCCACATCCAGAGACATTCTTCTGTGTTGAATTTTGAATGTGCGCTGTCCTTTCCCCAAAGTGCCGTAAAAACACGTCTCCAGTGCCATACATTTATTTCTATCAGTTGACCGTGGAAAAAAGATCACTTGAGGTATTTACCAGCTTCCTCACAGAGAAATCACCAGTTAAAATAGGAACAGAGACAGTGGTTGTTCTTTCAAGTTATATGGCTTGATGCAACAAAACACAGCAATTTAAAAACAGCTCAGATGTAATGGTACTGCAGTGGAGCCTTGATAGCATTTGTTGTATCTTTGATTTGCTAGATCCGAATTTGGGATTTGCTCATCCAGTTACAGGGAGTAAGTCGAAACCTTTGCCCTTTCTCAATTTAGTCCATCCTTGGTATGCAATTGCACTAAAGTGGCCTTTCTGTTCTTTCAAAATCTTGTCCCCCCCCCCACTAGGAACTCAGCCGGCTTCTGGAGGAGGAGAAGTTGTCTGGGATTCCACTGCTGGTCTTTGCCAACAAGCAAGACCTCATCAGTGCCGCGACAGCCGCCGATATCGCAGAGGGCTTAAATCTACACACCATCAGGGACCGCTCCTGGCAAATCAGTGCCTGCTCTGCAATGACCGGAGAGGGTGTAGAGGTACATTTACCATCAACAACTTTCATGCATTAGCCACTAGCTAGTAGCCACAGGACTTTTCCACCACAAACTCGTCCAAGGAGTGGTCGTATTTTGCACTGAATAATCTTATTTCTTTAAATGACAAGATACCACCATGCACAAAATGCTGTCATTCACAATGTTGGGTGTTACGAATGCTGACCCGTGGTGGTCATTTGTTTTGTTAACCACTTTGCGCCGGGGGACCCAGTATTGGGTACCTTATGAATGTAATGAATTTTTGAAGAATTTTGAAAAAATCGGAAAATCGTGAAAAATGCCCGTATTTGTGCACAGCCATTTTAATTTAACTTGGCGCAAAGTGGTTAAAGGTCTGTATGATGCTTCTTACAGCATAATTGCTTTCTTGAAACTCTGAGACAATGTCAAGGAGCGATATTTGCCTCAACGCCAGGCCATATTCCCTGGCCACTGAGGGCTTAACACCAGTTCAACCAACCTTCCCAGAGCACAGACTGGTTTGGGTCTCTGTGTGAATACAGGCATAGGTGGAGTCATTCAAGCTTGGGAGCAAGCACACATGTCACCTTTAACTGCATACGTATTTTCCCAAAATGTTTGTAAATGTCCTCCCAGTCACAAGAAATCTCCACACATCATTTGCTAATAGTTACAGGCACTGTTGATTGAGCTGCTCACGTAGAGCCATTGAAATACTTTGTCATAAGGGGAGTCGGATTGGCAAGGTTGTTCTTTCCTCTCCTTCCACCTCTGTGGTCCCGGGTTCGAATCCCGGCCCAGTCCACATGTGGATTGGGTTTTCAGTCCCTACCTGACTCCGTGGGTTCTACCCAGAATATTCCTCTGGGGTTTTCCTCCCACCTCTAAAACTGTAACTGCTTCTTATTGTCTCCTCTTTACTGATGTTGGTGAATGTGGGTTGTTTGGCGGCTGCCATCGTCTCCACCATGTTTATATGTATTCATTGTTCCACACTTAATGTCTTCATTGTACCACGCATTTGAACATACCGTTATCTATATGAAATTTGCACTTTATAAATAAAAAGATTAAAAAATAAACATCATAAATGCAAGTTTACCAGTCACATCCTCTTTCCTTCAACGCTGTGTATGAACTTGAATTACATTCTGCTCCTGAAAATGCTGGTCAGAAGTTTTTTCAACTTTGACACTGCTTGCCGTGTTTGCATCTTGAACTGCATAAGTGATGGCATACAAAGTTGTGGCTGTCTTGTATGCACAAGCTGTGCAACATCAAGACACAAACCATTTACTTTATCTTTCAGATAGAATGGTTGATGTTAGAATAAAGCAAAGGTGATATAAGTTCCTGTCAGTTGTAGCCGATTGAAAATGTCACTTGGCTTTGCCACAATAAATCACTTGGAACGAAATTAAATACTAGCAAATGAGACAAGAAAAACTTTGAACCTCTTTGCATCGATGAATCCCCTTTGAAAAATGTACATGTGACGTATGATAGTGTAATTGTTTAAACAGTGTAGAGGTTTGAGGTTACGTTAACTCCATGGGCCCAGCTTTTGAATGTTTTTCCACTGTGTGCATGTTCCCCCTTGGCCAATGAACACAGCAGATACTGAAGATGCGTTGTGGCGTCTGCACTGTGTCACGCGCACACCAAATTGATCTGACATTGTGTGTTGTTTCAATCCCCACAGGAGGGAATGGATTGGGTTGTTCAGAATGCCAAGTCCAGATAGCACACCACACACGCATCCTCACTGGAGGCACCATCCCTTCAAATTGAGACCTGAAATTGACAGCCAGTCCTTGCTAACAGTCTGCCTGCACCTTTCTCCTGGGGAAAATCTGTCTGATATAGCCCAGAATTCTTCCCCGGAGTGCTGCTAGGGGAGAGATTGACCAATAAACACAGATGTTGAAGATGATGCAACAGCGAGGTCCAGGAGTTTGCAGTAATGGGAATATGTTCCATTTCAAGCATTCCATGTTGACAGCAGTAGGCAAGTCCAATCAAGGACCATAGTTAACCATGGCTAAACAAAGTCTGATCAAACACATACTAGTCGATGATGATTGAACTTGTGTAATTGTCTCTTCACAGCCAGTCTACCAAGGTTGGTCCCGTTGTTAGTTGCCGCACCTGTTTTAATAGCACAGTGCAGAGGGGGCAAGTGATAAGAAAAAAGGCAGAAAAACTAAATCTAAGTATGCCACTAGTAAATTTAGAGGATCCCTTTTCTGGTTTTATTTTGCCACATCCTATGGCTAGTTTTTTTCTCCCCATGGGCCTGAATGGCCTGACAACGGTTGACAAGAGTTGTTTGCACTGCAACTTCATTGCACGTTCTTCATCAACCATCCACTAGCTAAGTACTGGTCCTCGATGGAACTTGCCTAGTGTGGTTGAAGTTGGGTCTTGTATCTTGTATGGTAAAGGAAGATAGTAGACTTGAAGTCAGTGAAAATTAAAAATGAAGAAAAAACAAGTTAAAGAGCCCATGCAGTGTTATTTTAATCCCCTTGGGAGCATTCTGGTGCCTTTTTGGCTTCATGTCAGTGCATATCAACAGATTTGTGTATTCATAAGAACAAATGATACCGCTTCAGAAAGAAACTTCAGTGGCAACATTTCAGAGAATTTGAAAATCTTTTGTTGTTGATAAGTACATAACAGTTGGTAAGCGAGCAAAGTTTCCTCACAAATATTTCCGGTGAGCTAATTTGGGCTTCGCAGTCAATACATAGACACAGAAAATGTGTAAAATGAACACGATTTCTGAAAGCACAGCAGTGGCAATGCTGTCACATAATTCATTTGTTCCCTACGTCTCTTGCTTGAAATGGGGTTCTCATTGCCTGCACCCTCGCAGTGACATCTAAGCTCAAATTTCATGTTAAGTACATATAACCAATCTGCAGGCAAAATGTTCCTCCATCTAACTGCAATTCAGAGATATTATGGCAGAATTGAATCAGAATGACACTTGTGGGAAAGGGCAGTTATTGTGATAACCTTTCAAGTTGGTATTTTCATTTTCATGAGTGAGGATAAATTGTTGGTGCTAAAGACAAAATATTCACTAAGACAGTGGTCTCAGCATGTGTTTTCAATGGTAAATAGTTCACATTTTTGCTACTAAAATTGAAAGTGGCTATAAAATATTCTTAATCAGGCTCTGATATTTTCCCTAAAATCCTGGATGTGTTGGGTTTTTTTTATACTTTGTGGCCAAAAAATCACATCAGAATGCATCAAAGTACAAACCTGTAAGTTAATATAACAATAACCTCTTGGGTAATTTCTTGAAAGAATGTTTTTCTTGACTTATTTGGTTCAATTGGAAAATAAATTTGCACGTTTTTTTTTTCGTTGGAAAATATTAACGTCTCCTTGAGCCCAACCCCTCAGTGTGTTGCAGGTACTTTGCTTGCTTGGTGTAGCCAAATCCACTGATGAGAAAACTGCTTAAGCCAATAGAAGCTAACAACCTGAAATACAAGTGTTTTTTTTAACTTCTGAGTTCAAAAACATTGGACAGGCGTTGTTCACTGTTGGAAACTGTGCAGCTCTGAAGTGTGAGGATTACAACAGAACTTGATACATGTACATTTATATTTATAACTGAAGTGTTATTGTTAGCATTTTCTTGTGTAGCAAGTAAATTGCCTCAGGAAGATGATTCATACTAAAATCTACAGAAATGTATTTCATTTTGATGTGTTTCAACATCAATCTGATAATGTGGTTGTCTAATTTTGAAACAAATCCTGATGCACTCTGTGCATATTGGATACTGTACAAACACATACAGAATGTGTTTTCAAGAATGGAAACCAAATATGTTAAGTTGATTTTATTAATTGAGAGGTTCTTGAACTGATAGTATCTGGTTTTATCACAGAATTAAGGATTGTTGGATGTTTTTAAATGTAAAGTTGTGTTTAACTTTGAGACAAGCCCTCCATAGATCACATGTAACCTTTTCCATAATGACATGATATTTCTGAAAGTTGCTGGGAAGGGCAAACCGGTCATGGATCAAGGGGGAGGGGACTCCGCCTCCCTCCCCTGCTCTGACATTCATGTAATATTGATTACAGTTATAATTTCTACAAAGATGACATCCTTTAACTTTTTATACATCCTTAACAGGGTAATGTATTGCCTGCCCACCTGTTCAAAGTAATCCGACATAGAAAACAAAATCTGGTGGGCCTGACCCCAAATCTTCCCCCACTGCCACAAAATCCTGGGGCGCAAGTATGTATGTGTAGCTCCCAGTTTGTGGGTGGGAATCTGATAGTAAAGAGTGGGAGGCGAATTCATGATATTCACGAGAAGGGATGTGCATGTGGGCGATAGAACAAATAGCATGCATATTGTCTTTGTGTGCATGCACAATACATTAATGGCCTGAAAAAGTCTTGAATACTCTTGCCACTTTAGATCAAATGTACTAATTGGATATTTAAAAAAAATCGGGTGAGATCTATAAAGTGTGCTGTGTTGTGCCTGCCGTGTATGCATGTGTATTTACGTCACTATCTAACATTAAGCCAAATGCAGGTTTTTCTCAGTTTACTAACTTTCTGCCTGACCTTGAATTTGAAAGTACTAGACATGGTCTGGGACTTATTTGTGCAGCTGAATTTTGGTCTCTAAAGATATTCAGCAATAAAACAAAGTGAATACACCTCTGGAATCTCTGTCTGATCCTTTGTTTTGATCACATCAGTTGGAGATGGAAGTGTGTAATTCAGCAGAATGTAGTGGATCGTCTTACTCACAAGCACTCCCAGTGTTTTGTCGTAGCCATGACAATCTTCTCAGTCTTGAGGTGATTGTTCTCTCTGCTATTATTCACTGGAAAATTGACCATTGTTGAGAGCGGTGCGCATGCAGTGAAGCAAATGGGTTATTTAAATAAAAAGACCATTTGGAATGCTTTGATCCAGTGCATGGCTAGTTAGGGTGTTTCTCTGTACTGTGACAGGTTCCAACCTGCAGATGGAAGCATGGTGTTCGTGTATTTTGGCAAAACGTGATTTGATAAAAGAAAAAACCTTTCTACTCGAGGACAGGTCAGCGGGGGGAGGGGGTCATGATCACACCCCCCCCAGGAAGGAGCCTGTTTTGTGTGTGTGTGTGGTGTGTTTGGTTGTTTGTTGGGTTGTTTGTTTGTTGTTGGGGTGTTGGGTGTGGTGTTTGTTTCTTTGTTGGGGTGGGGGGGTTGGTTGTTTTTTAAAAAGGCAAGTCTTGTCTACATTAATTTCTCTCCATTCCAAAAGCATGTATAAATACCTAAAATGTAACCTCACGCCTCAGAAAAGCAAAAGGTTACATAAAAGATTCAAAGATGTTCCCACCCAGGCCCCCTCCCTGTGGTTCTGGATTTGCCCTTGTCTCTTCTCTGGAGTGTAGATGCAGCAAAAAGGCTTATTGAAAACGGCGTATACTTTCAATATTAGAGGATATAATAAAACCCAGATGAACTTTGCCTTCACAAAATGAAATAATCTTGCATTGTTCACGTCACCCCTAAAAAAATGCCACGCCCACGTGTTGGTTTCTGAACTTGTAGTCTGTTTCCCAGCTCGTGACTTGCCAAGATAATACAGTTTGTGATAAGGTATCAACTGGACGTTTGGGAACCAGGCTACACAACGATATCGACAAGCGTGCAATTCAAATTCGAGGCGACAAAAGATCGAGTGCTGGTACGTTCTGTGTCAGTTGTTATTTATTTGACCACATTTCACGATTGGTACGTATTTTTTCTATCGTTGTATTTTACTTAGCATTAGTGCAGTCGCTATTGTCCCTCTGACAGTTTATCTGGCATGTTCACTGATACTTATGATGCCTTGTGGCGATGTCCAGTTACACGTAACTTAGCCTATCATCACGGGGAATCATACGCGAGGCTTTGTTCTTGTCGTGTAAACTGGAATGCGTCTTATTCCGACACTCCTTGTGTCACGTCAGTGTATGTTGTGTCTTAGTTTTGGGCTCTGTTATTTCTGTAGTCATGACAAATACCAGTCGTTTCTGAAAGGGGGCGCAGAAGGGCGAAATTAGTTCGTCTTAAGATGCTACTTTGCTGGTTAATGGTTGTGTGCAAACATGGAAAATAACAAATTTGAAAGTACTGACCTTTGCAATACAGTAGTCAGTACATTGGTTTGGCATCCCTTGAACTGCGGGGACCCCACAGTTTTGGGGTATGGATTTGGATGACAAGCAATGCATTTTTATGTACATGTATAACCCTAGGGAGTAATTGCAGAAATACCCCGCCATGCGAAAATACCCCCTAAAAATCCAGTGGCTACGTACATGTAGTCAAGTGGAGGTTGATTAACTTCTGGCTTATTCTTGCTGGCTGCATCAAGGTACATGCATGTGTTTTGTACAGTATTGAAGTAATTTTTGAGAACGAAGCACTCACTTGAACTACATACAACTCAGCAGGGGAAGACTAAAAAAAAGTGTCTTAGTCCAGTGTGGAATACAAAGTGGGCCTTGTGCTGTCCTGCAACGCAAAGTGAATGGGGAAGGCAGAAGAATTTAGTAAGTCCAATGTGGGTCCCAGTGAGTAGCTACTGGGATACAAAGTGGGCCTTGTGGAAGTGTGACTCTGTATCCGCGGCTATGAGGTAGGCAAGGTGAGTGACTGTAGTTGTGCCAACCTTAGTTTGGGAGAAGGGTCCATGTATGGTCCGTTAACATTTTGTTCATTTGTTTTTCAATTTGAAAACGAAAAATAAATGAGTGAATCGTGAAAGAAAGATTGAAAAACAAGTCATTTTCATTTAGGCCTACACAAATAATGCAAAAAACTAAAGCAAGAATTGAACAATGAGTCACTTCTTGTGTTTCCATTTGAAATTAAACAGCACAAACAGGTAACCCCAGAGAATCATTTTGTGTTTCTTTTTTCAATGTAAAACAAATGACTTTATAATGTATCGATACACTTTTTGGAACATAAAATAGGTCCACATGTCCATCATTGACATAGGCCACATCTTTGTGCAAATTGTAGCCTGCTGAATTATATGAATTAAACATGAATGAAATACAGGACTATGATTATTTTGACGCCTCCAAAGTGAAAGGAGAAGGAGCAACCCACCAAAACTTTCTTGCATTCTAACAAGCAGCATCGATCTTATACATGTAAGAAGAGCTATGGTGTTGTCATAGTCGCTTTATCAAACCCCAGTTGTACAGTTAAGTGATGTCACTAGATGTAACTGTTGTCCCTGACCTGGTAAATACAAGTAAGGTGTTGTACTCTTTGGTATTTTTTTTTTATGATTTTGACTTTGGTCAGTCGTACTACTCCAAACACCCTACCCCTAGAACTGTAGGGTTTGTGGCACACTCTGGAGCGTGGGATGAGCCCCTTATTTCTATGGGTACTAATGCTCCAATGACAAGCCCAGCTTTTGATGACATAGACTTGACAATGAGGTACATGTATGTCTTCAAACATTTCCCATTCCCCTTCCTCGCATCTAAGGTGACTGATGTCACTTTATTGATACTCATGGTTACTGGGAGTAAATCCAAAGTATTCAACCAAAGCCATTGATGTTTTATGGTGTGCCAATTGAAATGTTCTGGACTGGGCAAAGTCATGCTTTGTTAAATCTCCACTTTCCTATAAGGCTTTTAATTCACTGACGCCATGACGTGCATTAGAAAGCACATGTAGAAAAATGTCAACATCAGGACGTGGACATTTTTTTCAAATATCATGGTCTGTACATGTTTGTTGGGAATCACAGTGACTGTGAACAAAATAACCCTCTGTGCTATAAGGTCCTTACTGCAGTCATGACATTTTCAAAAATAGGCTTAGGGCCTTATTCTAAATATAAAAGAAATTCTAGTGAAACAGACTGGCAAACGGTTTTATTGTCAAAATTATTTTTACCAATACATGTAGATTTGAGTTTTATCCAATCTTCTCAACCAATTTCTTTTTTAAGCAATATTTTCCAATAAGGACCTTATAGCACAATTTTGCTTTAAGGACCTTATAGCATTGATGTGACAAATATAATGAACTGTTTCCACTGCTAGTGAGTCATTGCCAGACCAACCCGACCATGCCTGAGGTGTCCAACGAGTACAAGCTGAACCAGTGTGCTGGCGATGGCATCTCCTCCGTCAAGTTTGGCCCCAACACCTCCCAATTTCTCCTGGTGTCCTCCTGGGATGAGACAGTCAGGCTGTATGACATTGAATCTAACGTCATGCGTACCAAGTACAATCACACCCACGCAGTACTGGACTGTTGCTTCTATGTAAGGCTGCACTAACCTTTGTACACAGAATCCTAATCCCCCTGCCCCTAAAAAAGAAGGGTCGTTAGTTTCAATTGCCGTTTGTTAGTTGTTCAAAGTTATTAGGAATGTTTCTTATTCATGTTGTGCTGATTCCTTTTAAATTTTTCAAGTCAGAATTTGAAGTTTCCTTACTATCCACGTTGGATTGTTCGCGACTGCTTGCCTTTTTTCCCCTATTAAGCTATGTGAGCTGTTTGTGTGTTGAGCACCTTTCACTTGGAAGAATCAGGCCACAAAACAAAAGCCAAGTGGATTCCAACTTGAACAAAAACGATGACATTTCTTTCCTTGTTGGTTGCTTCAGACAGTACCTTTTACAATTGTTTGTAACTTGTCTCATCTTACTTTTGTCATTACATGTATGTATTATCAACACACAGGACCAAACACACACATACAGTGCGGGACTAGACCACACATTAAAGACATTTGACATCAACACAAATACTGGTAAGATTGGATTTTCAGATTGTAACCAATGTTAACTGCTACTGATCGGTTTCATAATATGAATTATGTATCTGGCTGAATAGGGTATTTGACTTTAACGGCTTTCATATGTCTTGTTTTAGACAAAGACATACTGTTAACTTAAACGTAAGTTTAGACAGTGCTTACAAGAAACTGAAGATGCTAACACTCACCCTAACCCTCCCAGATTCTTCCTAACTCACCAGGAAGTCTTGAAGGATTTTGCAGGACTGAGGAAAGATGGAGCCCTGCCAGAATTTCTTTACATGTGTTGTACATGGGGGCTTGAAGCCTATTGAAAGTTCAAGCATTGTTAACCCTAACCCTCCTCAATCCTTCACCTGTTGGAGGATTGAGGAGGGTTAGGGTTAATGTGCATGTACCCTAATTTGGCACAGCTCCTAATTCTCTCGTAGCCTGATTTTCCAAAATATCGTTTTTGAAGTGCAAAATGAACTCTTGTTTAATGCGACCAAAAATAAGAAAATAATTTTTGTACAAACTTGCAGAGTCTGCTTATGTGAGTATTATTTACCAGAAATTATCAACTGTAATGAACTTCTTAAAATGTTAATGTGGAATTTTGTCAGATTTTTTGAAGTGTGCCATGTTAGGGAACACTCTGCTGACTTTGTGCCCAATTTCAAACTAAATTCCATGACACTGAAAGTGGTCCTAATGTTTCAACAGCATGTCTAATGTAGACAATAGGACCATCATTTAACTATGAATTTTGCAACCAGGTTTTTCAACGAGGAGGTATTGCAACCTGTATGAGGAAAGTCGAGGGAAACGTCGAAGTGGACCACATAAGCGGGTTCTACTGTACAAAGAATGTGTTACCTGTTTCTTCACAGTGGTGGAGTTTGGAGGATTATTAAAGTTTAATACCTGTACTAAAAACAAATTTGTTAAAGTGACAGAAATTGATGTAAGTTTCTTGTAATTTTATGTTGTGTCATGCTGTGTTGATATCATGGAGCAGAGAGTTTATACACGGAGAAAACTGCACTCTTTGAGTTGACGGAATGAGAAGTTAAACATTAGTTTCGTTCATGTACAGAAAGTGTGGTCGGTACCCATGAGGCACCGGTGAAGTGCGTCGAGTACTGCTCAGATGTCAATGTCATTGTGACAGGAAGTTGGGACCAGACAGTCAAGTTGTGGGATCCTCGGACACCCTGCAATGCTGGCTCCTTCTCTCAGCCAGATAAGGTACATGTACATGTACGACCCACACTATTTTTACACAGGCTTGCAATATTTCCTTGGATCAGCTGATTTCCTCGTTTCTCACTACACACTAATGGCATTCAAAATTGAAAAACACCGTACATACTCTTGCAAAGATTAGAATTTCCTCCTTTTTTTAATAAAGTCCAAGTTGCATGCCTGTGTACAGGAACTGGAAATATTTAATATTTGCAACCCACCTTAAAAAATGAGTTGTACATTGTAAGTTGCCAGAGTTTCTTTTGAGTAATGGGCCTCCAAGTAACTCTTGAAGTAGTGAAATAATAAGATCCACACAATATCTGTATGCTTTTAATTTGTGTGCTGCAGTGCGTGTCAGATAACATCTCAGAAACTCAAAATCTTTTCAGGTGTACACCATGGCTGTGTCTGGCGACCGACTCATTGTGGGCACAGCAGGCCGCAAGGTCCTGGTCTGGGACCTGCGTAATATGGGCTACGTCCAGCAGCGTCGGGACTCTAGCCTCAAGTACCAGACTCGCTGCATCCGGTCCTTCCCCAACAAGCAGGGCTACGTCCTGAGCAGCATTGAGGGCCGGGTGGCCGTGGAGTACCTGGACCCTAGCCCTGAGGTGCAGAAGAAGAAGTACGCTTTCAAGTGTCACCGGCTCAAGGTAAGGGAAGTGTTCCAATCGTCTTGTTAATCATGCCAGCATCCAACTGTGATACTCACAGTTAAAACCCTTTATTGCTAATTCAGTCAAGGCAAGATTAAGGTTGCGACAAATGTTTTGTTGGGTTCTACCAAATTTCCCCATTGCTAAAATGGAGGTCTGCCCAATGCCCTACTTTTTCCCCTGACCCAAAATGTAGCTGTCGTGCACTTCCGTCTTGTAGGCCTCCATGAGTTTGTAGGGTGAGGTGTTGCAGAGCATTTCAGGCCAGTTGTGTGTTTTTATTTCAAGTGTACATCAATTTTGTGGAAGGACGTGTCCAAGCTCATTTTACATTTCAGTGAAATTCTCCTCGCCTGTTCTCACATTTGGGGGAAACAACATGAATTGTGTTTTGTGGTGCTTACGGAGTGTTTTGAATTGAAGTTCATGCTGTATCGTTGGACATATTTTTCTCCCCCAGGTGGATGGGATCGAGAACATTTATCCTGTCAATGCCATTGCCTTCCACAACCTCCACAACACATTCGCCACAGGGGGCTCGGATGGTTTTGTCAACATCTGGGATGGGTTCAACAAGAAACGCTTGTGCCAGTTTCACCGCTACCCAACGAGCATATCGTCACTGGCTTTCAGGTGAGTCAATAGGACCAACGTTGCCACAAAGTCTAGCATTTCAAGAAATAATCTTTGTCTTATCAATTCAATTTAAGACGTGCATGTATGCACCTATTTTTCAAATGGAGTAAAAAAACATTTTATGTATGAATCAATTCAACAGGCGTACTCTTGGATGGTGAGAAATGATCTCTACAGCATGTTTGTGCTCATTTCCAACTTGATGTTTTGGATTGTTTGAAATAATGTCTTTTCTGAAATAATTTTTGTCAATCATGTAATTGTAATTAAAAGATGCAGAACAGCCACTCTTCGGGACTGCTCAAATTTTGAAAGTCAACCGTTGGTTATGGATTTCTTAACCACATCCGGTCTTGAGACTTCTTGGTGTGTTGGCATTATCCTGCCTCTCTAAGGCTGCCAGCTGCTGCAGGAATTAGCAGAAGCCTCTTTTTACATAGGACTTCTTCATTTTGTTTGAGTTTTGGGTAGTTTGGAGTGCTGTTCTGGGCTTCCAAGCGCAACAAGTTACCCTCAGACTAGTGCACCAATTATACCTTGTTGCGATGAGTAGGCATCGGACTAATTGTTAGTATCTGACCATGTCTGAACTCTTTACTATTTTTCAGCAAGGACGGGTCTGTTCTGGCCATCGCATCTTCCTACATGTATGAAGAAGGAGAGCAGGACCATCCGGAGGATGCTATCTACATCCGACGAGTCACCGATCAAGAGACCAAGCCTAAGTAGGGGAAGTAAGATTCCTCAGGGAGACACAGTGTCTGTAAAGTGTACATACAGTGCCCCTTCTTGTTGCATTTGGAGACAGTAGCAGAGATGCTTGTGTCAGCCAATTAATGGTTAGTTCATCATATCAACATGGGAATGCCAGACATTGTTTATGCAAGGCAACACCCTCTACATAAGCTGGGTGCTTCCCCATCAACACCCTAGAAGATAAGTGACAAACCAGCCATTAATTAAAACCCCTTCATGGTGGGATTATTTTGACCCTGACTGCTGGGCTGTGGTATGCCCTGAATGGAGGGTTTTGTCCAGCAGCAGGCCCCATTGAACCAGCAGCTGCATGGTGAATAGACTGTATGTGTGGTATGCACTAATCCTCACACAATGGTGCGGTAGTAGCAGTCCTCCTTGGCGAAGGGGTTAAGCAAGCTTGGGGAACTGCACATCAGGACAGATAGAAATGATTCCAACACTGAATGGGAAAGTGGCTTCTACTTTGCTTTCAATAGGAAACTGGACCTCATTGTTCTGGGAGTCAGCAAACTGTGTTATCCATTTCCAATTTCCCAGTGTCTAATTCTGGGCTGTCCTGATGAGTCAGAGGGCTGGCCTGCAAGAGTTCGAAAAGTGCCTGATTCAAAGTCTGTAGAGCTTTGAATTTTGTGGAACAGAATTCCACATCTCCAAGATGGTTGCCAGAGAAAAGATCAATTGTACTTTAAATGCGTTGTGCCAGTCTTTGCAAAATATTTGTGACTCAATGGGCAAAACAGTTGTTGGAGTCCTATACAATCGAATCAAATCGTCAAAATCAAATGTCAAGTCCAAGTTGGTGGTGATGTAAAAAGTTCTGATTACAAATAAGCACATTCTGAAGAACGCCAAAAGGAGCAGTTTTGTTTTTAGTTGGTTGTCTGTATTTGAATTTAATGCTGGTATCGACCAAGTGATGTGAGGGAAAATATTAGGATTAATGTCAAAAAAGAAAATTAAATGATAAACATTCCCGTACACAAAGAAATGTCATTTTCACTTTGCCGTCATGTGCCATGTTAACTTACTGGTTAGTAGCCTTCCTCTTTGATCATTTCTCTTGTTGGTTGCACTGTATATAATCAGCCTACTCTATATATCAGGAAGGCTAACTAACACTGCAGGTACTTGTATGTTATGTATCCGGTTCGTAAGTGTGATGTCACTTCAGTTTAAACCACACCCACTGCACACGTGCACTGCACATAGGGTTACATGCATTGATCGCCGTTTACATGGAACAGGAAGTTAACGCGCAACTTCAGCGATCGTCCAATGGGAGCCTGCAAATCGTGGCGCGTCTGCCTTTTTGACGAAGTCACTTACGAACCGGATAGTGTCATTCAGGAACCAGAATGGTTACACAACGTTCATGGATGAGTACAGATTAACCACTCACTTTGAGTAATCTGCTCCGAGCGGAACAAAAGAGGCTGTTTTTTTGTTACTCACTGCATAGGCGCGCCATGAGGGGCGCAAGTATATGCACATTTGATGCGGAGCACACTGAGTACTGTCTTTCTTTTGCTGGTTGGGGGTGTGCACTTCAGCTCGGGGCGGATAGTACCCACTCAATCGGTTAAAAGGGAGCCATATTGTGACGTGTGTATGTCATAGTCATTTGTGAACCTTCGAAAGGGAAGTGCTTACCAAAGGAGCCTCCGTTGCTAGGATAATGGCACCCTCTCTTGGTCCTGCTTAGGGCAGATAGACTGACCCGAGGAGACGTCGTAATGTGGTGGTTTGCACTCACAAACGTGCTCTTAAAGCTAGACATACCAGTATACGTGCAGTTAGCAAATCACGACAATCCATTGGTTGTAGAGGAAGTAAAGCATGCATATCACCTGTCCATGGGTGTTGTGCCATTACAGTGATTGGCCTCTTATTCTGGTTGCCAAGTTGCTTTAGCATGGAGTTTTACTCCACTGTTCACTGCTTCTAATACGCAGGGTTTTCAGTTGTTATAGCTTCATCCTTCCTGTTGGCCTTAGAATATAACCCGTCCACTCATTTTACTTGTAACTCGGAGCCCAGTTTCTGCAAAGTATTTTGTGGCTTTTGAAATTACTATTTTGTATAGTGTAAAATATAGAGGGGCTGATGATAAACTGTTCAAAAATAATTCCTTCATTTCCAGGGTTTTTGTAGAAATTATTCATTTTGTCACCTTGAATTTACTTTTGTTTTCAAATTTTTTCTATTAGATTTGTTAATTGTTTCCCCCCCCCAAAAAAAAGCTCACCGGCATTTTACAATTAAGTTGGCTTGGTGTGCAATCCATAGGTACCAATTGTTATCAAGAGAAAAGGCTAAAATTGTTTTCATTCCAAGGTAAGTCATTCCAACATGAAAATGAGAGTATGAACTCGGCCATCAAACAAAACATTTGAACATGAAAGCCAAGGTCAATTGGAACAGTCTGTAAAGTGCAGATAACATACCAGTAGCATTTCAACTTTATTCATACCTGTGATTTGATCTGGTGGTTTATGGGCATGTGTTTGAGTCAAGGGTAATACAAAATTTTAATAGATTTAGTATTTGTGATAGAAAAATTTACTTTTTGCATATGTCTCCTACTCGACAAAAAAAAGGTCTATCTTGTGATTTTTCCACAACTTGCGGACCATACTGAAAATACAGTGTCAACATACACATTAGGGTAAGGGCAATACCTATTATCTTATAAGTAAACTTGAATTCTCAGTTCTGATTGGTTGATCCATGGCAACAGACTGTGATATATAACTTTATTGCACAGTTCGTATCAAACCCCGCATAGTGCACTATTCTAATTCAGAGCATCGCATTATTCTACGCTGCAAGCAAAACGCACAGCTGCAAAATTTACTGCAACTTCAAAGGTGGCGCATTTGGGCGCATAGGCCCCTTATAACATTTTTACTGAGCGGCAAGTTCGCTTGAAGATAAATTGGTTATGCTCGCACTCGGAGGAACACAGAATAATGTATACTGCAGTGCGTCACATTATTCTGTGCTCCACTTCCTCTCATAATGACTAATAATATGAAACATCTCCCTGACGCAAAGCTAAATTGATTTTTTTGCCAGGTAGCCATTCCCCGCTACACTGGATTCGAGCCCGCCACCATGCCTTGGTAAACTCTGCACTATAAGCAACAAGTCATAGGTTAGAATCCTGCCCAAACAAGCTTTTGATCTTGTTCCAAGTCTTGGACCACACTGAAAATATTACATGTATATGTATGTGAATATTTCCAATGTAAGGGCAAACCCTAAAATAAAATGAACATTTCTCCAAAGCCAGATTAACATCGCTGAACGACCATCTTGCCAATTCAGTGACTTTTATTTCCCACATTGTTATTTACAAAATAAATGGGTGTTTTTGTGCACAAGGCTCGTTAATGAAAAACCAAAACATCAATTAAATGCATTCTTAAAATGAGTCCCCAAATATAATACAGGAATCAACACAAAACCAGCAACCACAGTAATGTTTTAAAAGGTTTCAAAATGTACGGTGCCTTATCATGAAGCTGTTATGTATTTAATTTCAAGCACAAACAGTTGATCTTCGCAATGGCTCGATCTTCTCAATTGATCGATCTTCGCATTGGCTCGATCTTGCACGATCTGTCGATCTTATTGCACAATTTGCTAATTTTGTCATCGGCTATAAGCCTTTTCTTTCTGTATGCGGTTTGGAAGAGTTTTAAAAAAGGAAAGTAAAGTTGGAGATTTCGTGCGGGATCAACTGATAGCACAATGTAATTACACCTTTATGCTCTTCGACCGATAGTGCCATTCACACCCATCATACATACAAGTACAGGTACTTACACAAGATATTGATTAAAATGAAGTGCTATTACACAGTGACCATATTTTTATTTCTGCCAATATAGAACTAGTTTGACAATGCAAACTGGCAAACATTTCTTGATTTGAGAAAATGAAATACTAACAGTGAAAGTGGGCAGGAGCGATCTCATCAAACAGCTACAGTCGGCAGTAACGTGTGGCTATAGAAAGTGGCTGCCATACATGCATGTGTTATTCCCAGGGCACTGTCAATACTTCAGGTCACTGCCTAGCCATACAACAAACCAAAAATTTGAATCCTACTAAAGCATTCAGAAGTATTAAAGATTAGGAAGGTCATAGACATCTTTCAAATATACACTAATATACAATGTATACATGGATAACTGCAACTGTATTAAGAGTTGTCCAGTTTCCTTAAACAGTTTGGATAAATTTAGCAGGTCACTCATTGAGAAAGAAATCAAAAATATGGTTTTACACTTTTAATAATTTTTATACCAATTAATTATTTGATGGCAAATCACAAGCAAATTCGCCAGGGCTCATTTTTACCAATCAAATATTTGGAACACAACGTCCAAGAAACTACAATATTTCCATGAGCATGGCTTTAACCGTCACAATTTGTTAGACTTTTTCAATTGTAAAATTTCAAAGTGGTGGCAAAGTAAAGTCTTTCATGTGTACTTGTAATGTAAATGTATGCAGATGCACTGCACTAGTGTTTTGCCTCTAAAATGTTTGAGACTACTCACAGACATGCCCTGCAATGAACCTCCGAGTACATAACATTTTTTACCCTTCTTTATGATTGATATTACTTTATATCTGTTGCAATCAAGACAAATGTTTAAGAGGGGTCAGCAGGATGTGTTAGCAATAAAGGACAGTTTAAATTTAATACAATCTGGGAAGTAATTTCACTGGTTCCCAGACATTTTTAATTCATCAATCTACCCTGGTAAATTTCAAACAAACTCTGGACATACGGGACCTGGCTATGAGGAAATAAATTACTTTGCCATTATGGTAAGATGGAATGATTTTCCATGGGAAGGGAAAAGACTTAAAAAATAAGTCAACCTTTCAACCTGAAGGAAAAAAGGAGCATTTACAATTTTCTGGCAAAAATACTATACATAACGTGAAACGCAAAGCCATCTGACTTCGCTCTCCAGTAGCTCTCCATGTGAAAACAAATAGGTGGCACGTCATTTAGGTTTCACTGGGACAAATCACATCTACAGACAGTAAGCCAGTTTGGTATTCGAACAGCGCATGCTTAAAATGAAGTGCGTTGGAGGTCATTGGGGAAATGCAACACGCTCAATGTTACTCTCGAAAGGTGCCAAAACAACAAAATGAAAATCATTCATTTAACTGATATTTGAAAACCTCTACACATTTCCCACAAAAATTTATGTACAAGTACGTATATATTAAAACTATTTAATCTTGAAAGATGCCAAATTCTGTTACACATTACTTTAAAATAACGGGGAGTAGGAGATTTGGCATGCGACAGGATACAATTAGCAGATCAGACTTGTCATTAGTTTGTACGGTCTTGCGACTTCATACACAATTCACTATCCACTCTGCATGTACATGTATGTGATAGAACCACTTGTTAGATGACATTGTAAACATAATTCATGTTGATATTCCCATGATACTGCTGCATTACTGAACTATGCAACAGCCGGCAATGGCTCAAGATAGTTAATTATCCACATGTGTAACTATCATATGCAAAGCCTCTCTCAAACGAGATATAGAAACACTCATCTCAACACGCCCCATCCACAATGAATAGCATATACAGCAGCACCTTTGAGGTTCTTTAATTAAGAATTCAAAGGAGGTTCAGAAGCAAGATGTCATAGACTGGCTACTCTGGTGCAAGGCTCCATTTCCTAAACATTCCATGCCACAGGGTCTGGGAGCCAGACCAAGATGACCGCGAAGTTAATAGTCTCAGTGATTCACCTGAGATATGATCTTGACTAGCCCTCACTGGAAAGGAGCCACCTGTTCATTACCATGGAATGTTTGTCAGCCCATGTTACATGTATTCCAAGTTAATCAACCAGCTGGCAGAGTCAATCACCAAGGTGACTGCTTGTCCTTACCTGTGCAGCGGTACGCAGGGTTTTTTCTACTGGATGATGCAACAGGAATTTGTCTTTTTTGCCTAAGAGGAAAAGAAATGTACAAAACACTTCTGGTTACCGAACCAAGCATAAAAGTGTATTTAAAAAATGACACTGGTGATATTGAGCCTGTTTATGACCACAGCAATTTGAATCCAAAACTACACATAAGGAAAAATTCTTCTGGGCGGCCATTCAATAACACATCAAGTCATCCACCCCAACACACCCCCCACACACTGCCCCAACACACCGCCCGGACACCCCCCCAAAAAACCTGATATTTGCAAATTCAATTCAATTTTACCAAATAAAGCATAAGGCAAAGATCTTTGGACCTAAAAATCACAATTGTGACTGACTTTGACTTCAAACATGATTCAAGAATGCAAACCAATCACTCACGGTTTTATAGAATGTTTTTGACTGCGCACTGAGGTCATTGGATTTGGCTACCAGGTCGTCCAACTTTTCTCCCCGTTGTAGCATGGCATCTATTGTACTGTGCTGTGGACAAAGATTAACAAGGTACGCTATAAACTGCAGAATATTAAATGTATTCCAAAGGGAACATGTGACTTTTAGTAGTTGAAATTTGGAAAGCAACAAATTTATTCTGCCGGGAGAGACAAACAAATGATAGGGAAAGTCTAATCGGTGTCAAATCGACAAGAAGGAAAGGTGGTAATCGATGGATTGATGACTGTGGTATCTTTGATTGCTGGTTCGCAAGTTCGTGAGTCACACAGTTCCATCAATGTGTGCATTGCAGGGCACCACCAAGTATTTTGAATCTCCATGGAATCTGCTCGGACTGGAAGCATCCACTTCACCAACAAAGGCGAGACAGGCTGATGGGAAATATTCCATCTAAGTTAACGGGTACAGACATGAAGATTGACATTTAGACAGAAATTGGCTGCGAGTGTCCAGCACATCCCAAGCCCAACGTGCATGGCCCTGTGTATGCTAATAGTACATGTATTTCCATGACAATAAGACACTGTTCTTACGTGTACATAAAACCCACAGATGTATACATGTATAACAAAATCTGGATTGCAATGCCTTTGAATGAAATAGAAGCCAACCAGTGGCCATTTGACCGAGCCGAACACAAATGCACGGGTTGGCTCGCTTGCCATTGTACCTGTTGACGCCAGGGAAAACAAAGGCGGGCATTGCCAGGCAAGCTTTGTATTCGGCTCAGCAAAATGGCCGCCAATGGATTCAATGATCTCTACAAGCTGATTAAGGGCATTGCGAGTCCAGAACTCTGCTCCTAGACACTCACCATAATGATTTTGGTTTCATCCAAGTCACTCTGTAGTCTCATCATGGGGTCTGCCTTGGCTGGATTCTGTGGTGGAAAAGGTCAAGTGACAAGGCCGCAATTAGGGCATGAGGCTAAGGATCCATATGTTTCTAGAGTTTTGTCTCAGTCTTTGCCAATTGCAACTATGTGGACACTTGCTGACAATGTCATAGTTGAAGCTGTATGAGCCTCTTTTGGACATGGCCTTCTAGACTCTACATCATGGGTGTGATTGAGGTGCCTTTTAACATTTTTCAATTAGTGTCATCAACGGATCCCAATGCTGCTTAAGTGGAAACCTTTTTCATATTCCCACCAGGTGGGATTCTCTGATATTGTCCTAGGATTGAGACACAGTGGTGAGGTATGCTGCATTGGCCTTATGTGAGGTAGTGTCTATGAGCGTATCACAGTGCGACAAGGGTGCGTCTTTAATTATTTGAGGTCAAGCGGATGACTGCCAGCTAACAGACCAAGCCATTATGCCCTTCCCACTGCACACATGGGCTTTCTTCCAATGCCACACTGCATGCTACAGCTGTGCGCATCGTAACACACATGCACGCATGTCGGACTTTTGCGCACGCATGGCTGTGATTGGTCAGAACACACTGGAGCAGTCTTAATGGATCGGTCTACTGGAGGAGAGACCCCTGCTTGAGTGGGATCACACTCACGCAAGCATGGGGGAGTCAGGATACCGTATCTGTGAAAGAGGTACATTTATGTAATGTACATACTACGAGCATGGTACTGTCAAAGTAACGGCTTCTATTTTCTGTTTGCCAAGTTAGTCTATTAATCCTAGAAGTCCTCAATCCTTGAACTGAACATCATTTTTCACGAGAACTTAACACAATCACAGAATTTTCAAAGTGAAAACTCGGTGTAACAAATAGCTAAACCATCTCAGAGTTCAAGGTTGCCAGCCAAAATGACTTGGTAGTTATTGCACTGCTGTTGACTGCCAAACAGGATACAAGACCTCTCAATAGAAAATGGTAATCGACCAACTCCCTGCACTCACAACAGAATCCAATACCTTGTCCAACACTTCACACCTCCCAACTGATCATCAATGCTAGCTGGTGAACATGAGAATGTGGAAGCACTACAACATAAGATGAGCCAAGCTTACATGTACCTGATAGTCTTCAAGGTATTTTTCCAAATTCTTGAATGTTATTGAGTCCTCGGCCGCAGTGGGCCACCTGCTGTTGGACACCTCAGTGGAGAACTCATCTAAGACCTGCAGATAACAAGAGACAGGCTGTCAGGTACCAGTGCTACAAAGTTGACAAAGAGAAAAGAACGAGAGAGTTGGCGTGGAGACCAACTCAAAGTATCTCACCTAATCTCTCCCTTTATTCAAAGTTACAATATCCTACAATGTTCGCACAGATCAACTCATCCCAGAAACAGTTGGCCTAAAATCAAGTTCTAATTCTAAATATCAGTGGATGTACTAATAAATTAGATTTTCCTTTGACTTGCATCAGTACCGGTATATTCCATTCACAGAGTATGCTATGTAAGGAACTCACATGTTGATGTCCTGCTGGTATTGTACACATAAATTATGCATTGTTTGCATTTCAACAATCCTTTGTATGACAAGCACAAGCTTTAGGTCTTTCAACTAAACTGTTGCCATAAATTGATTTGAACAAAATTAAATCTTGACCAAAGCAGGCTATGAATACAATCATTTTAGCATCAGAATCTCAATCTAGAAAGCCAAATGACCGAAATTTACAGCCAGTCAAAAATTATTTCATAAAGCTCTTTTTTTTCTTTTTTTTTTCATTAATCGCATTGTATAACTTGGAATACTTCGTCTTGTACAAAATAACTCTCTCTTTTAGCCATTTCACATTTTACAATCTTTATTTATTTTATGTTTTATATTTCTTAGGTTTTGTATTCATGCATTTTTACTGACTTACAGCCTGTTCAATACTATCTCTTAATAAGCAAGTATTATTACAATGTATATTATTATTAAAGTCCAATGGAACTTTATGAAACACAGCTGACATCTGAAGTCCATGCATTATCATCCCTTTTTTGGGGGGATTAATTGTCAAAACAACTGTTAGAGTGAAATCGATCGAACCTCAGGGAATGGAAACAAAACTTCAAGGTGTCCATCTTTCGAGCAGACAAATTTTTGGACTTTTACATGTGTACATAGTCAAGTCAATATTATGCCCACACATATACAACGCCATCGTACCCTGCATTATGTGGCCTTCTTTTATGCAGAGGTCCACACTATGTATGCCACGCCTGCACATTTGTAACTCACTCTGGGGTGGCTAGTGGAAACATAATTGTGGCACATGTTTGCTCACAAAAGCATCAGTTTAACCCCTTCACGCCGGGACGCGTCAAAACACGCCGTAGAAATTGAGATCCTCAGCCCACTTTTCAGCTATTATTCTCAGCCCACGCTCGAGTGAACACTGTGAAAGAAGGCAGACCCTGGCTCTTGTATATATGGTAATTGGTCTTTGTGTGTAGCCCAGAAATGAAAAGACCAAATTTGCATCATAATCACCAGCTTCACGATAGTCCCCACTTTGAAAAGAGGCAACAGGAATGTGGAAGGGTGAGTAGAGCCGCATGCCACTGAACAATCAGCCTTTTCACCGTGTAATTCAAAATGTGCAGAGCACGCTGGGCCACAAACCAAGAATTTGCGGTTTGGCAGGTGGCCTTCGTGGCCAAGCAAAGCTAGAATTCTTGGAGTCAGCTTTCGGAAAGAAATTCCCCACAAGAAGGGGTTAATGAGATTTTACACTGTTCCTACCTAACAGTTCTGTTGTGTTGTGTACTTCTGAAGTAAACAATAAACCAATTCAACTTCATACCTTCATGCAGAAAATCTTTCTTCTTGTTTGGTCAATCCTGTCTATAGCATGATGCCCCATGCATGCTCAGGTTTTTCACTCAGGTTTTTCTACGTGTGAGTTTGGTCACATGACCGTTCCTTTTGTGGTCACATGGCTACCACAAAGAGTCAGCGATTGGACTGCCTTTGCGGAGGCTACAATTAGACCCACAGCAGCAATTAGGAAAGCTTGAAAGTCAGGTATTTATTGAGGTTGGTTAGCAGGTGGTTTATACCACTAGTCATCACAATGGCAGCGTGCATGCCAGAGTCCCAGTGTGGAAAGATGTAAGCTTAGCAGTAATGCTCACAAAGACAGTCTTGCATTCTTTTTACACTTTTTGTATTTTAGATTGGCATTGCAAAAACTTTTGAGGTTTGTGGATGTACCTATAGCTGTGTGGGCATTTGCAGTTGTGGAGGTCTTTTATACATAAAAACCTATTCTTTTGGCAGGAAAGAAGTATATCTTTGAGATGAACAGAGTTTTGACTAAACCAACTTTGTGTCATTGAGATTATACTGTATTGTATTTTTGCGGAAAATGGGTGTTCTCATTCACACGAAGATTTCAAAACGAAGTTAGATTTTTTCTCAGAGAACTGAAAAGAACCATGGAAGAGTTCCGATGGCCTACCTTGTTCAATACTGTAAACGCTACTCTAGATGGGTACTCTTGATCTGCGATGACAACTCCTGACAAGGAGTCATTTCGAACGTACGTGTGACAGTCGTAATCTGTCAGAGAAAAAATATCAAAATAAAAACCAAATGTTTGTGACAAGGAAAATGTCTTTGACACCAAAAATGAGGTAAAGTAAGACGCACTAAATACAGAATAAGCATCAAATAAAAAAGCAGACTCTTTACAAACCTCGTTCTTTTACTGTGGACCTGAGGCCAATCTGTGTTCTCTCAACTACAATTCGGGATGTGAATTTCATGAACTCCTGTGCACTGATCAGAAAAAAAAAAATTGGAAATAGGCAATTAAGAAACAAGTTGACAAATGCAAGATTACCATATCTCCTTTTACGTACTTTTATTGACTGACAAGAAATTCAATGTAGCATGGCATTTTATCAAGAACTGGCAACACTGCTGTAATGTATATGAACATTTACATAGTGGAGTAAAGTCAAGTACTGTACATGTAAGTGATTTTGATAGGGCTCTGTCATCCACTATGCAGCATTCTGACTGGTTTTCTACCCATTTGAACTTCATGCAAAGTACAACCTTCACATTGAAAAGGTTAAAATGCGCTGATATCAAACACCTAAATACTTGTAACCACTTGCTGCCGGGTGTAACTTGAAGTTGGATGACATAAAACCGGGGGATTTTCAAGATTTTCTGTTTTAAAAATTCTTCAAAAAATCATAACTTCAGTTACTGGCTGTTTACACCCACAGGAATGACTGTCTGGTGGCTACTCTAAGCTAACAGACAAAATCTATTGACGCCCGAGTATTTCAGCCAGGCCTTCCACCTGGTAAAAAGAGCCTAGATTGTGTGGTGATACATAAGTTTCTTTTGTTTTTGAAACTGGTACAGTGCCCGGGTGGCGTCTTTTCAATAGGGGCCAGATTAGCATGCAGCGGTATTGTATCACTCATCAATGGAGTGCAGGATCGCTTTTGTCCCCGGTGATAATTTGCTTGTGCTGAATGCCACAAACAGTGGTATAATCTTTCAAAAGAATGATGGATTTCCTCCGCTATTGACAACTGAAAAAATGTTAGCAATTCCCAGCACCTTGGTCTTTTGTGCCAAGTATGGTCTTTCGTTATAAGGCCTAGCTCTTTTGTCCAGTTTCAGGCTACCCGGCTAAAGCCTATGTGCCTGAAACCGGGTACCCCGGCACAAAGTGATTAACACATGTACATGTAGGTGTGATCATAGAGGAAGGACACAGAAGTTGCAACTCAGGCACTTCAAAGTGTTCAATGATGGTTGCTGCCGAGTCAGATGAAAATTAGATACATTCCAAAACTGCCTCATTACTGCCTGCATCTTAGCCCGACAAGCGGGGCCTGTAATATCCCAGCAATACTTGTAGTTTTTTGCTTGAAATTGAATAAAAGTTATTGCTTTGACCAGGAAACAGAGAGAGAAAAATCCCTGATATTAGACCTACTTTTGTCATCGTAAATAAACTTTTAAAATTTTGATACACTGCTCCATTATCCATGCAAAATTTGTAATTTTATTCTCCTCCGTCCAATACATCAGTGTTCAAAGACTTGGTACGAATTTGGCTAAGACTGGCCAACAAAATATTCACTACTTCTGGAAAGCTTAGTTCATTAGGAACAAAATGTGCTATTTCATCACATCTCATAAAATGAAATCTCATAAAATAAGCTTTTGAACAAATGCCATAACAAAAATGAATCAAACGAAACACAAAATTTTGTAAACAAAGAACAAAGAGCTCATTAAGGGCAATGACTACACATATAGATTTAGGGTACACAGCGTAATGCAAACAACTGTGCAAGCATTACATTTGAAGTTGTCATGATATCATACCAAGTACCAACAAAGCATGAATATTCAATTTCCTATACCTCAGTACACAAAGTTTTAAGGATGCAGATTACCATCGACAAATTGCAGTGGCGATCATAGGGTACAAAGGGGTCTCATGGTTGTGAACAGATGGTGCGTAGCAAGCGTTCACTGCGCTCCGGCTATGGACATACCAGGCATGCCAAACAGCAGTAATTGGCCAGATGTTAGAGCCCAGGCACATCAAACTCCTTCTGTGTCCTTCCTCTATGGTGTGATCTTCTAATTCAAAAACTGGTACATACAAGTTGCCGTGGAAGCAAGGCATCCATCGAGTGAACCTCCACACAAAACAAGTCCACATGATGTCGGGTCAGAAAATAATCTGTGGACTCCACACACCCGCACAGTATTTTTGCCCCTCTGAAACACCACTTCAGAGAAAATTTGGGGTCTGGGTTAATCATAGCAAGATGAAACGGAACAGTCCAGGAAATCTTCCCCACAAATTCCAGCTCAAATGAGCTATTGTGTAGTGGGAGGAGAAAGGAGTGTTTTCCCTGAGCCTTCTGAACCACAAGAGAACTAAGGAATGTTCACACAAACATTTGTGTACATTCAGATGAAATTTGGTAGCTCACTCTAATTCACACATATTTACAATGTAGAAGCAGAGTAACAATGCAATGTATCCTTCAGTGGTTCCTGAGAGCACACAAGGACCAAGCAGTGACATCTGCTGTTCCCACAAGGAGTCCATCATCTGATTATATGGGTTGCCTGGTTGTGCAGCATTTTGATGGAATGGTCTCAACATCACAATTTCTGTACGAAGTGTACTGCTGTGCGACTTAAACACGGTTGGCTTGGGGGGAGGGGTTAATGTGGAAGAGAGCACTGTGTGTAACAGCACATTGCCGAGACTTGATAATTAAACATCTTTAGATTCCTGCAAAGCACCCAAGGCACTGTTCCATGTACATGTAAGCCAGAGGCAATCCGTGAAGAAAAGATGATTAGAAGCAGTAACTGTTTCAGAAGGTGGGAGGGAAAACCCTAGAAGAATAACATTTTCTGGGTCAAATCCATCAAATCAGGTAAGGACTGCAAACTTCATCCACGTGTGAAACCAAGCCAGGAATCGAACCCAGGCTATGAAAGTATCGCTACACCAACCTGACACCCTGATGTCCATAACGACAAGAATTTAATACCAAATCAGTGCTCTGAAATATGTGATTGCCGAGCTTTCGGTAACTGAGTACCTTCTTCAGGGCAAGCCAATTCAGTACACTCGGAAATGATGTGGCCACAGCTTTCATTTTCGCCGAACCCCCGATTTGCGCATTTATGCGCGATCGTTCTGTTAGGGACATGGTTGTACATTCCTGGTTGGATTCCGTCTCGCCGTCAAAAGCAGGCAGCAATTCCCCTCGTAAGCACCCCAGATGTAACACCTGCCCCTACATAGTTAACAGCCCGTCGGTCGTCAGCCCCTGGGGTAGCTACAGCAGACAGGGGATCATACATGCATTACAAGTAATGTGGTTTATTGCATTACATGTCGTCACTGTGGTTAACTGTACATTGAAGAGACCAAGCGTAACCTTGGTGACCGCTTCCCGGAACACTTGCGCAGTGTGCGCCAACAAACATCTTGCCTCACTGTTGCGCAGCACTTTTGCGCACCGCCACATACCTTCGGTGACGTAAGCGTCTGCATCCTGCGGAAAGCGTCATCTGATGTACAGCGTAAGGAACTGGAGCAGCGCGTCATTTTCGAACTTGGAACGCTGCATCCGGGGGGAACAACTGTGGATTTTTCCGATTTTTTCAGAACTGAATCTGCTTGCCCTGAAGAAGGTACCCAGTTACTGAAAGCCCGGCAATCGCATATTTCAGAGCAATGATTTGATACTATATTCTCGTCATTATTCTGATCACGGTGCTATGCAGCCCTTCCATATTACCCCGATGTCCATGCTTTCCACTGCATTGGGTTGCATATAGAGAAACAACCTGATGGGGTCTAGGAACCCTCCGATGCACCGACCTCATATTTAACTGATGGAGC